CTGTGCTATTGTTGTTATGGTGTTTACGACGAAGACGCAGAAGAAGTCGTGATTCTGAGTCAACCGGTGCTTCAAATAATGTACGAAACAATTCAAAATTGTTTTTAAAAAATGGTCACGTTTCCATACTTATACTTATAATAAATGTTATTTTATAATAATATTAATATTAATAAATATCACAATAATTATAATAAATAATAAGAATAATAATTATTATTATTATTAGGCCTATTATCGTTATTATCACAATTATTATTATTATAATCATTATAATTATTATGATTATGATTATAATAATAATAATGAAAACAATATCAGCAACAATAATAATCGTAATAATATTGATAATAATTATATTATTGATAAGGATAATGAAATAACTAATAGTATTGATTATCAACGTTTGTTGATTATGGTACTATGTATAACGTCCAATGATAACAAAAATAATAATATGAAATTTATTCATAATGGTATATTTGTTCGATATCATCATAGCAGCAATAATAATAATAATAATAATAATAATAATAAATAATAATAATAATAATAATAATAATAATAATAATAATAATAATAATAATAATAATAATAATAATAATAGTAATAAAAATTTTGGTTTTTTTTGTAAGGCGCTGGTATCCGCAAGGTGCACTCATGGTGTCAGAACCAAGCAAGACAGAAAAACATATATAACAGAGTGCAATACGATTACAAATTTAGTGTTGAAAAAAAATTAAGTATCATAGATGACATAGTAATCTTATTATCCTTATTATCAATGTTATCATCAATATCATTAACAATACAATATTATAATTAAGTATATTAGGCTTGTTAGGCCTACCTATTTTTAATTAAGCGTTAATTTAAAGCAAGCGATTCTTACATTCACTCGGCATTGACATATATACATAAATATTTTTGCATATAGGCCTTTTATAGTTTATGTATTATAGAGTGCCATCAATTGATCCTATCGTTACCCTTTTGCAATACCCACACCATAGATGTCATCCAAATTGAAAACCATTACAATGTAGTACTAATAACTTTGACTGTAACCTGATTTTTACGTCTGTTTGTTCTTAAACAATGTCATTATTTGCTTTCTATTATGATTCGCTTGCCTAGTATGTCTGTGCAGTAATCGGAACAGTTATGTTCACTTCATTGGTTTTGAATAGCCATTATATACCCAACCCAGTAGATCCGGCTCTGTAGAATGCAGTGTGTGGGGATTTTACTTAAAAATCCAAATCAACTTGTTCACAATAAAAACAACACAAGTATACTTATATAAATGGGGAAATTCTTATAGATTACTCGCAATTTTAAGATCGTCTTTTTTAATCCTGAAGACTGCGATATGCACCCTAGAAAGCAGCATGCTACAGTCGACTAAAGTAGTAGTCTCTGAACCTTGGCTAAACTACGGAGATCTTCTCTTGGATGGGATGTTTAAGTCTGTTGTTCCCGTGTATCATATGATTCATGTTAAAGAACGTTGTACACTCAATCTGCTCATACAAATACACTAAAAACGTTTACTGGAATAGGCCTAGTCCAGTGTGTGTCTTTTTATTTTTATTCCGGTTGTTAATTTTGATATAATCACAGCTCGAATACAATTGAAATAATAGGGTTATGCTATATATGATGTTGTCATCAAATCCCTGGCTACCACTTTAAAATGTTGAATTACCAAATCGTATGACATTTTCTTATGTTGTCTTTTTCAAGGGTTTTGTGCATTCATCGACAATTGAACGTAGGCAACCGACACTGGAAGCTATACCAGAGCACCAAGAACCCCAGGAAAGGTTTCAGGTACAATATCATGTTTGTTCAACAATAACTTGGATATTGTTGCTAAGGTCCCACAAGACGGCAGTGTTAAAACATACGCGAACACGTGCGTTTGTGGGACAACACGTGTGTTTGTAAGACGCGCGCGTATTCCTACGGTTGTTGTGATTAGTCAGTTGTGAAGTTTGATTGACACTCCGGAAAGGTCTATTAGCTTCAGTGAGAAAAATTGCTTATACGCATGTAGATTAGTGACGACAACCGTCCCCGCCCTTCCCCCCACCCCAGTTTTTAAATATTTAAAGATCTGTATCGCATTGACTGTTCCCGAGTTTTTCGCCAAACAACTCTTTTGTGTCTTAAGAAAAAATCAATTATACAACGTATCAATTTGTTTTCCTCCGGAACCTGGCTTCAAATGTTTATCAAAAGTGAACCAGGTTTGTCTGACGCTTTTGCACAAGAGACGCAAAAAAGGTTAAGCAAACCATGCAGTAATAACAAATTAGTACACGGATTAGAATAGCGAAATAACGTTGTTGGAGGTAAAATGATGACGCCCCGATTGACTTATACTGTAATATGAAATAGTTTAGGGGTTTAAAAGAAACCCACAAGGTACAAGTACCCTCCTCTCTCCCACTCTACAAATAAATAAACGTGTAGATGTAGAATTACGTTCATTTCTTCAATTCCAAAAAAATAATGTTGAAGTTTCACCACTACACTAGTGGCTTCATCAGACTAGCAACTCATACCCTTCTTTTTGTCACTGATAAATGTGAGTACCATAAGAACATTTTTTTTTCTATATTGTAATATACATTCCAAATGAACATTTTCAAAGAAACGTGTAAATTTTATCTTACAGAATTTTGAAAATAGTCCGCCTCGGCCATCATATCTTCCACCGATGGAGGTCAGTTACAACCTTTACTCTACTTTTATAGGACACAATGCGATGTTTATTTTTGTATTGTAATTAACCATTATTTTTTATCTCGTATATTCATTTTTTGAAAGTTTTGTAAGTTTCCATCATTACAATCAAATTCATGAATAAGTAAATTATATTATATTAAACATTAAGCACAGAGGAAAAATACACATTAACTTCACCTCCCCTTATTTCCACTCCTCAAATAATAGATGTATTTATCACTGATAAAGTAAAAATACATTTAAAACTTGATGTTATCTTACAGCATTTTCAAAATTCTGGGCCTCGGGCTTCATACCTTACACCACTACCGGTAAGTTACTAATTAAAATAGGATAGGCCTATATTGCAATAGCTATTCTTGGATCAAATTAATCACTATTTTCTATCATCAACAGTTATATATTATTATTTTTTATTTATAATTATTTTATTTATTTCTTTTCTGTTGAAGATTCCTTCCTCTCAGTCAAGTTCGCAGTATGGATCAGACAATTCTGACCCGGTAAATGTTTTTTTTTTTTTTTAACATAATGCTCTGTTCACACTTTATTATTCTATGTGACAAATTTGTGTGATGTGCCCAAATATGGGCATGATGATGTCATATTACTATGAAATATGTGCACGTCACATTTATTTGTCACATGCAGTTTAATAGTGCGGACAGAGCTTAAAGTACAAGGGTGACAATTAACAACCCGATTTATATTAGTTAATATTCAATTGTCTTCATCTTATAATTTATAAAATTTCACCCCCTCCTATCACTCCTCAATACGTTTTTTCGGCAAAGATTAGTGAAAAAATTAAAAGATGATGAAACTTTATATGTTATATTATTTTCAGCTATTTCAAAATTCTGCGGCTCGAGCTTCATACCGTTCATCTGTCATGGTCAGTTACTAATTTAAAAGATAGGCCTATATATTACAATGAATAGTTTTATATCGAAAATATTTTCTATGGTTTACAATTATACAATAATAGTTTTTAAAAATGTTTTTATGTATGTTTTGCTTGCATTGAAAATTAAAGGGAAAAAAACTTACAAGAAAAAAATATACAATATTATAATGTTGTCTATCATAATTTTGTTTGTTTCTTTTCTGTTCAAGTTTTCACCATCTCTTGCAAGTTCTCATTATGGATCAAACACTTCTGAAGCGGTTAGTTGTAGCATTTTCTAACGGGTAAAAAATATCCCGATTGATGATAATTTTTCATCTTTCAAACATTTTAAGCACAGTTATAAAGCACCAATCAATAAATCATCATTCATTCAATTAATCAATCAATTAATCAATCAATCAATCAATCAATCAATCAAGTAAATTCTGGTAAAACAAAACATTATGAAAATGCATCATGCAATATCACTAACATATTCAATTGTTTTGGTGGGCCTTATTAACATCCAATCTGTAATATTACAGACTTCTTGGTGATCAATGATAAGTGTAGCATATCCTATTAATTATAATTAGTTAATTACCGGTGCTTCATTAAATTCTCCCTAGATTTCGGATATGACGATTGCTGACACAACTCTCTTCATCCAGAATGCAGTTAATACGTATTTACGTCTACTTAAGGAGCAATATCAATTTAAAG